GCTTCTAACATCAGTTCTTCTCGGCGGGGCGCCGCTAGGGACGTTCTGACCACCAGAGGGCACTAGAACCACAATCCCCGTCCCAGGGAACTTTGCCTGTGCTCCAGCCCCTTTCTGCCAAAAGGCGGTCCAGACATCAGCGGCAGCAGCATTCGAAAAGCAGAACTTCATCTTAGCCAGGCTGGTCACTAGAACCACAATCCCCGTTGTGGTTCTAGTGAAATAACATCAGTTCACTGAACGAACTGAACTAACTGAACCAACAGTTCTTCTCGGCGGGGCGCTGCTAGGGACGTTCTGACCACCAGAGGGCACTAGAACCGCAATCCCGGTCCCAGGGAACTTTGCCTGCGCTCCAGCCCCTTTCTGCCAAAAGGCGGTCCAGACACCAACCGCAGCAGCATTCGAAAAGCAGAACCTCATCTTAGCCATGCTGGTCTTGAACGCCTGACCTCATGATCCACCCCCCTCAGCCTTCCAAAGTGCTGAGATTACAGGCGTGAGCCACCGAGCACGGCCCAGACGTTAATTTTTAATTTACATTCTGTAAACCTGAACCAAGCACTGCCCACCGAGTGAAACAGACATGCTTTGGTTCTCAAACACTAGAGGAAACCTTTCCGACCCTTGCGTCACATTAGTAGTGGTTTCCAGGGCCACACGTAGAAGAGGATGTTTTCTACAGTGTGGAGCTAGGCATCCCTTAGTGGCCACCCCATTTTATGAAAAGGGATTTACCAAGACTAGAGGCACTTTTACTGACTCTAGTATCACTCTACACACAGCTGCAGTCAATTAATTGGAGCCACGGTGGTCTTCACCCTCTGCTGAAGAGAGATTACCAGGAGTTCCCTCCTCCCATGAGAGAGAGCCATGTGCATTCTCTATGGGGAAGTGCTCTGAATTTTTCTTTGAGAACCAAGGGAAACTGGAGACACACAGTCTGGTGCATTGCAGGCAACAAAGAAGAGCAGTTTTAGTAGAGGGCGTGTTGGCAGACCTGAGCACTAATATTTTCATACAACAACTGTTGTATGAACTACTCTCTAGTAGGTTTCGGGCAATGCCTTAGGAATGGTGTTATAGAGGAAGGCAAGGCACTTAGCCAGCAACCCAAATCAGGATCCATTCCAAATGCAGCAAACCCTCGCCATAAAGCACAGAAATCATGAGATACTATAAGTAAATATGGAAGAGTTGTTTTGTTTTTTTTTTCAAATTAATCTCAGCATTGGGGCAGCCTTTCTATATATGATACCACTAAAGCTAAAAATATCATTGGTCACATTAGCTCACACCAATAATCCCAGCACTTTGGGAGGCTGAGGCAGGTGGATCACCTGAGGTCAGGAGTTCAAGACCAGCCTGGCCAACATGGTGAAACCCCCATCTCTACTAAAAATACAAAACTTAGCCGTGCATGGTGGCAGGCATCTGTAATCCCAGCTACTCTGGAGGCTGAGGCAGGAGAACTGCTTGAACCTGGGAGGCAGAGGTTGCAGTGAGCCAAGACCATGCCAGTGCACTCCAGCCTGGGTGACAGAGTGAGTCTCCATCTCAAATAAATAAATAAGGAAACTCTCATTTTAAGAGATATGCAAGTGAGTTTCCATATACTTTTCTCTCCTCTTCCCCAGTGCCAACATCTTGCAAGACCACGACACAATTCTCAAAACTATGGAATTCATGTTGGTACAATCCTATTAACCAAACTCCAGACTTTACTTGGATTTCATCAGCCAATGTTTGCATTCCAGGATCCCACTTTGCGTTTACTTGTTATTGTCTCAGTGACCCCCAATCTGTGATCATTGCTCAGTCTTTTCTTAAAGAAGGACACTCGAGCACCGCCCTGATAGCCAGAGGAAAATGGCCTTGCGGAGTCCACCAGTGAAGGAATTCCCAGAGGGGTCTCAGAAGACGTGAGGGAGACTTCCTCACTGTGGAGGTGGGGCATGGAGAAATGGTCTCATTCCCATTCATTGCAACTCCCTCTTGACTGTGTCCATCAAAGCCTCCCTTCTCCCTAGGACAGAAGTGCAAACTTCTCTCCGTGGGCATGGTGGTGCACATCTGTAGTCTCAACTACTTGGGAGGCTGAGGTGGGAGGATGGCTTGAGCCCAAGGCGTCAAGGCTGCTGTGAGCCGTGATAGCGCCACTGTACTCCAGCCTGGGTGAGAGAATGAGACCCTGTCTCAAAACAAAACAAAACTATGTGAAGTGATGCATATGTTAATTAGCTTAATTTGTTCATTCTGAAGCAGGATATTTCCTTGACCCCCTTCCTCGGTGGGAACTAGAGTGCATGGGCGCTGGCAGGGACAAACTCCACTACTCACTGTGCCACCCCTCATGGAAGGGGGAGTGCAGGTGAGCGGGTGCAGGAGCTGGAGTGAGCTTTTGGATGCCAGCAAGAGCAAATTTTATACTGGCCCCACGGCAGCATCTAGGGGAAAATGACTGTGACCCCTGAAGTCCCAGAAGTGTTACAGTGTCCTTTTAGCTTTGCCATCCATGGATGGCTTAATTGTTAAGAGCTCAGTGGAAGGTCAGGGTGACAGCCTTTTGTACCCACACTCATGGCACCCAAGTTCTTGACTGGCATCCAGGAGGAATGAGATCACACAAACGAATTGAAGATGGTAAATGCAGGGGATTTTATTACTGGTGAAAGTGGCTCTCAGCGGGAAGAGGAACTGAAAAGGGGATGAAGCAGGAAGGTAATCTTTCCCTGAAGTTCGGCCATCCGTGGCCATCCTCTCCAAAGCTACACAGTCAAGCTGTCCCTCTGAAGTCAGGCCACTTCTCTCCAACATCCAACCATAGTCTTTGATGTCCAGTTGCTTGCTCCTCTTCTTTCTGCTGGCTGAACCTGGGGTTTTTATGGGCACAGGATGAGTGGCAGGGTGGACCATGGGTGGTTTTGGAAAAGGCAACATTTGAGTGGGAAAACAGGGATGTAAGTTCTCACTTTGGGCTGTGGTATTGGGCTTTTTGGCTTAATAGACCCACCCTCTTCTGTCCAGAATTTCCCTGCCTCCTGTCCCTGTCAATTCCACAATGTATATATATTTCAGCCTATTATGTTGCATATAGTAATTACATATGATTTTATTTGTCAATTTAGAAAAACAAAAAAATGTAGCTATAAGAAAATACAATCAAGTAGGCAAATGTTACTACGGTGTCTTTTCATAAAAATCATAACTATTATCTCTGAGGCAGTACTTGCTGAGTTAGAGTCATTGTATACTTTGACAAACATCTAAAAGACTGCACAGAGGTGTGTCTTCCCTGCCACCCCGCCGCAGTGTTTGGGAGATTCCTGTGATGATGATGTTGGTAATGACAAGAGCTTTTATGCAGACAGCAGGAACTGTGTCCTGGGCCCTATTATCTATCATCGTGAACACCCAACGGGTGCTTCTTGCCCACTGCAAAAAGACCACAGCATTGCAGTAAAAAAAAAAGCGTTTAATTGACACCAGGCTGGCCACGCCATGTGAGAGACAGACAGACTTATTAACTCAATCTCCCTCAAATTCAGGCATCAGAGGTTTTTTTTGTTTTTGTTTTTGTTTTAAATAAAGACGGGGTTTCACTATGTTGGTCAGGCTGTTCTTGAACTCCCGACCTCAGGTGATCCGCCTACCTTGGCCTCCAAAGTGCTTGGATTACAGGTGTGAGCCACCACGCCCGGCCAGGGATCAGAGGTGTTTAAGGACAGTTTGGTGGGTGGGGTCCAGGTAGTGGGAGTACTGATCGGTTGGGTTAAAGATAAAATCATAGGGAGTCAAAGTTGTCTTCTTGCGCTGAGTAAATCCCTGGGTGGGGAACCACAGGACCAGATGACCCAGTTCATTAATCTGGGTGGCCCTAGCTGATCCATGGAGTGCTGGGTCTGAAAAATATCTTAGGTTTTACAATAGTGATGTTATCCCAAGGAGCACCTGGAAAGGTTTAGAATCTTGTGTCCTCTGGCTGCATGACTCCAAAACCACAATCTCTAATCTTGTGGAGAATGTGTTAGTCCTACAAAGGCAGTTTGGTCCCCACGCATGACTAGGGTTTGTTTTGGGAAAGGGCTGTTATCTTTATTTCAAAGTTTAACTATAAACTAAGTTTCTCCCAAAGTTAGTTAGGCCTATGCTCAGGAATGAACAAGGACAGCTTGGAGGTTAGAAGCAAGATGGAGTTGGTTAGGTCAGATCTCTCACTGCCATATTTTTCTCAGTTATAATTTTTGCAAAGGTGGTTTCACCATGAGACATGTAGTGTTATTTTTCCCGTTTTATTTGCCAGATTTCAATGGAAGTCCCTGCTCCAGAAGTTGGAGCCACACTGGAGTCCCAGAGGGTTTGTTAAAACAGAGAAGGAGGCCTAGCACTGTGGCTCACTCTCCTAATCCCAGCACTTTGGGAGGCCGAGGTGAGAGGATCACTTGAGCTCAGGAGTTTGAGACCAGCCTAGACAACACAGGGAGATCCAGTCTCTACAAAAAAATTAAACATTAGCTGGGTATGATGGTGCACGCCTGTAGTCCCATCTACCTGGTAGGCTGAGGCAGGAGGATGGCTTGAGCCCGAGATGGAGGCTGCAGTGAGCTATGATCACGCCATGCCACTGCACTCCAGCCTGGGCAACAGAACGAGACCCATCCCCCGCCTCCCCGCAAAAAGCAGAGAGGGCTGAGCCCCATCCCCAGAATTTCTGAGTCCTTAGGTTTAAGTTGTTGCCCCAGAACTTGCATTTTCAGCCAGTCCCCAGGTGATGCTGACGTTGCTGGTTTGGGAAGCTCTGAATGATAGCAACATTTAATATTACTACGCAAAGACCCTGCCCATTGCGTACTATCCCCATTTTTCAGTGTGAATTTAGGTCCCTTAGGGGTCAAGCGGCTCGCCGACGCCCACACGCGCTAAAAGAGCACTGCCTAGGCCTCTCCTGGACCTCCGAGATGGGCGGGGTGTAGCGCTGGCAGCCTCAGGCGCCGGAGCTGCCCCTTTAAGACGAAGGCCCGAGGGCTGCAGGCGGCGGCGGTGGAGACGCGGCGAGGTCCGCTCTCAGTCCGGCCCCGGACCCCGCGCCAGGCGAGAGTCTAGGCAAAAACTCGCGATCCCCAGGCCCTGTCTGTGTCAGCGGCTGGCGGCAGCCCTGTGACAGTCCGGGAGAGGGCGCCTCTCCGGGCCGCCTGGGTGGGGGCCGGAACTTCCTGAGCTGCAGCCTCACAGGTCATTTCCCGGCGGGGAGGCTGAGCCCGGAGGAGGTGGGGCTAACCCCGTGAAGCTGCCCCGCCGGCTTTCCGGCACCGCGCGGGGGACTGTGAGGCCGGGACCCCCTCCGCGCCTTTGCACCAGCTGTGACCCCTTGCAACTGGGGTGCCCGGCGGAGCTGCGCGCTCTCCACGCCCCTAGAGCCTGCGCCCCGGGCCCCGTGCGCATTTTGCACGGGGGAGACTGAGGTTGGGAGTGCAAACCTCGCACTGGACACGGCCAGGTGGTGGTAGCCTGAGCCCGCGAGACTCCCTCCCCCCGCCCCGCGGTCGCCCGCACCCTGGAGCCCTGCTCAGATCACGGACTCCAATGGCGGCGGCGGCGGCGGCGCTGCGGGACCCCGCACAGGTGAGTGCTTGGGCGTCAGGCGCTCCTGTTCCTGGCGTTGAGATGCAAAAGATGGCTTTGTTCTAGGACTTTTCGCCTTTCCCATTTCCTTGCTTTTTTATCAGGGGATCCTGGAAGGGAGACGCTCCCAGCTGGGATCCTGAATCAGGGCAGGGTTTATACAGAGAGGCTTCCGTTTCTGAAATGTAATGGGATGAAGGGAGAAAGGGCTTTGTAGGCACAGGAACCAGCATGCGCAAAAGCTTGGGGGTGGGGTGGGGTATGGTGTGGAGACTGAGTTGGCAGTGTTCAGGAACCCCGCCCAGGTCACCGTTACTAATGTTATGTCTGCTGGAACCAGAGAGCTGGTGGGCCGAAGACAGCCCAGAACGGCAGGCCGGAGAGCTGGGCCTCTGTTCTGAGGGCGATGGGAGCCATGGAAGGTTTAGGGCAGAGGAGGAAGATGCCGTGACTCACGTCTTAACAGCCTCCCTATGGATGCAGAGTGGAGAACTGAATGTAGGGTGAGCCGCAGGCAGGGAGGCCAAGGAGTAGCCTGATGGAATAGTCCAGGGTGCTGCTGCCGGCCCGACCAGGGTGGAGACTAGAGGTAGAGGAAGTGATTGGGAACCTGATGTCTTTCAAGTCAGACTGACCAAATTTTCTGATGTGGACGAGGAGAAAAAGGGAGGAATCAGTGGTTTTTTGTTTGATGAATCTAGCTTCGTGAACTAAGTTGGTTGTAGGAGGAATTTTCCATGGAACCAGTAGAAGTTAGGTTTTGGCCAGGTTGAGCCCGTGATGGCCCGGAGACCCCGGAGTGGAGTTGAAGAGTGGGCAGCTAGACACACAGTTAGGGTGTTCTGAGAGATTTGTTAAGGTTATGAGAGACTGGATATTCATGTGAACAATGGCCAGATCATGTCCCAGAACCTGCGGAGGAAACCAACCCCCTTATCCGCACAAAGCAACCCCTGCAGCAGGAAGCCAGCCTACTGTATGTCAGACCCGGGGGAAGCCAGATTGCTATCTGGACTGACAATCCAGGAAGTTAAAACAATAACTTCTGTAATGAGCAGTCCCAACGGCCAGGGTTTGATTAATAACAGATACCTTCCCTAATTTTAACTTCTGCTTTTGACTTAAGACCAACCGGAGAAAGGCAGTTATACACCCTAACCAATCACATAGGATGCCCACTTCTAGTTCACCCATCTGCAAATAGGATCCTCCAATCATGGCAAACCTGAAACCTACCTTTTCTTTCTTTCCTTTTTTTTTTTTTTTTTTTTTTTTAGACCAAGTTTCTCACTCTTTTGCCCAGGCTGGCGTGCAATGGTGCAATCTCAGCTCACTGCAACCTCTGCCTTCCGGGTTCAAGCAATTATCCTTCCTCAGCCTCCCCAGTAGCTGGGATTACAGGCTTTCCCACTCTTGGCTTGCATTGAGTCTCTCTTGCTATAGCGAGCTTTGAATAAGTAGCCTGGGCTTTTCTCATTTTGTTGGTCTTTGTTTATTTCAACAGTTAGAAACATCCAAAATGTGGCATCTGGTGTGTGGACGGGAGCGTAGCTGTGTGTCAGATTTTGGAGGTAAAACTTCAAGTAGCCGTGGCAATGATGTTGAAAAAAGAGGAAGGCGGGGCTGGAAAACTGAGAGGAGGGTTCTTGCTTGGGAACTGTGGCTTGTTTGGCATCGTAAAGGCAGGTGAGGAACAGTAGTGGTCATGGTGGTGGCGGTGGGGGTATGTGGGAGTGTCAGAGTGAGGAACTGTGTTAAGGAAAATTGTCTGTTTCAAAGGCGGTAATTTCCCAGTGCCATACCTTCATCCACCACCAGCACCCCCCCCCCCCCGCCCCTGTTGTGGGCCCAAACAACCAATCCAGGATCAGAGTCAAAGATCAATCACTCCAGAGGATGTTTGAAAGAACTCCTCTCATTGGACAAGAACATGAATAAGGAGGCGGGGCCGGGCGCGGTGGCTCACGCCTGTAATCCCAGCACTTTGGGAGGCTGAGGCTGGTGGATCCCAAGGACAAGATATCGAGACCATCCTGGTCAACATGGTGAAACCCCGTCTCTACTAAAAATACAAAAAATTAGCTGGGCATAGTGGTACGTGTCTGTAATCCCAGCTACTCAGGAGGCTGGGGCAAGAGAATTGCCTGAATCCAGGAGGCGGAGGTTGCGGTGAGCCGAGATTGCGCCATTGCACTCCAGCCTGGGTAACAAGAGCGAAACTCTGCCTCAAAAAAAAAAAAAAAAAAAAAAAAAGAATAAGGAGGGAATAACTTCAGGGTTAAAATCCCACTGCCCCCTTACCTACACGGATTTCCCTCTCTAGGATCCCCTCCCACAACAGCATGAGAGCTCGAGCTCTCTCTCACTTTCTCCCCCGCCCCGCAAATAAATCACTTTCTGCAAAACTATTTGGGTTCAATATTTACTTGAATGGTAAGCTCACCACACCGCCAGGACCCTTTCCCCATTCCTGGGGCAAGTGAGCCCAAGAACCTGGACAGGCCTGGTTATATCTTTGGCAAGCACGGGGAGCCCCTGTCTTCCCGCCCGCCGATTACAAAAGGGTCTGGCAGGTGGCTGGATCTTTCCAGAGAGTGTAGACATGAATGAGATGGATGCTGAGGGTTAGCAGTAGAGGAGGTACTGCAGTGAGGCTTGGGCTGGTGCTTATATGCTCATCTGTGTTCTCTCCAGGCTTCTATGGTGACCCTTGATGGGGTTTGTCCTCAGGCTGGGGAATTAGCTTGGGACAAGAGGGGTCAGTTGGCAGAGTTGCTGGCCTTAGGTGGGTGGGGGGTAGGATGGCCATTTTTTTTTTTTTTTCAATGAGTGTGAGTGATGACAGGGTCAGAATGTGCAACGAAGAAGGCCAAGAGTATGTGACATCCATGTGTGGCTTAGGATGCCATGGGTGGCTTAGGTTGAAGCCCAGGCCAGGGGAGTTGGGGGTCTCCAAGGCAAGAGTGGAGTGCTCCCTCTCCCCCTTACCTGGGTGTTGCCCTTGTCAGTGGAGGCCATCAAAGGTCTGGGGCAGGCTGGGATCGGGGTTGTATTTGCCAGGTACTCTCTAGATGCCATGTGCAGAGTGACAGGTGGGAGCCCGTGGAGGTGGCTGTGATAAGGGCCGGGCTGGGGAGAGGTTAGTAGTGCAGTGGGAGGCTGTGGTGAGGTCTGGAGCTGTGAGGATGGTGTAGTCCAAAGAATGAAATGCATGTGGGAGGGAGCATGAGCTGTTCACCTCAGGGCTCTGGACTGGGGTTGAAGGGAGAAGCCCACGTTTGGATCTGAGAAGTGTGGCATTGGCCCAGAGCTTAGAGGGTGCCTCTCTGCCCTGCCTGTTGCTGCTATGCGCTGGGTGCCCACAGAACCAGGGCCTGCTATCTCCTGGAGCTGGGGAGGAGAGTGAGCAGGGGATGGATAGGGAGTCCCAAGGACAGAGACTGATCGTGGAACGAACTGTCCCCATCATGGCAGGGCTGCGTGACCTTTAAGGATGTGACCATTTACTTCTCAAAGGAGGAGTGGGGGCTCCTTGATGAGGCTCAGAGACTCTTGTACTGCGATGTGATGCTGGAAAACTTTGCACTTATAGCCTCACTGGGTAAGGCCGTCATCCCTACCCCAAGGTCCCAAGCCCATCTCTGCCTGTCACCTTTGCCCAAGAAACAGCTCTTTCCTTCCCACAGCCAGACCACTGGTATTGCTTCCATCCCTACTTTCCTGGTAGGCGTGTTGCAGCTTCTAGGGCTGAGCTCTGTGCATTACCCACTCCTCTCTCTGAGCAGCCCCCACACTTGCTGCCTGAAGCCTTGCAGGGAAGCTCCAGGCATGAGGGGTGTTGCAGTTGGGTGCATGACTCCCTCTGACTCGGCCATTCCCTCCCTCCTGGGTGATTATCCAGATCTGACAGTTCTGTGGTTTAGATTCTGCGCCTTTCATTTTGCTATTATTTCCTAAGCCTGACTGTGCCAGGAATTCCAAGCACTGATGTGGTTACTGCTTATTGTAATCACTGGGATGTCCCTGGTGTCCTACAGATTTCCCTCTCTGGAATGCACCCCCACAACAGCGTTGGAGCTGTCTCTCCCTCTCTCCCTGTACAGATATCCTCTTCGGATTTCCTGTCCCATAGTCTGTCATGGGGTAGTTCAACTGGGCAGGTGCTGGCCACTGACCCACTCTGTCTTTCCCTTAGGACTTATATCTTTCAGGTCCCACATTGTTTCCCAACTGGAGATGGGGAAAGAGCCCTGGGTGCCTGACAGTATGGATATGACTTCAGCCGTGGCCAGAGGGGCTTATGGCAGGCCTGGCTCTGGTAAGCAGCGACGGGAGCTGGGGGAGGATGTGACCTCACCACTGTGTTTACATCATACAGCATCTTCACTCCTATTCATCATCATTTGGTACCAATACCAGTAGCCAGACCTCCTCTCTGCTTTTCCTTCCCCGTGCTTGATCCACTTGTCATTGCTATTCTAAATTGGACCCCCTGGCTGTGCCCCACCTTTCTGGCCTCCATTTCTCTCTTTCAGCTTCCTCTGCCTAACTGTGCAACACTGGCCTACACTTAATATGTTGCGAGATATGTGCTTTTTCTTTGACATGCTTGAACACCAGCTACTCAGCTGCAGGTTTTCCTGGGTCTAGATGCTCTCACTGCATAGCCTTGACAGGTTACCAGCAGCCCTGGCCCTGCCAAAAGCCCTTTAAAGAGAAGTGAGTGAGAGACCCTGGCTCTCTGCCCAATAGTGTCCTCCTTCCTGTGTCCCTGGTCCTGGTAAGGCCTCCCGTATTTTGTGACCTGGCCAGGCACAGTATATGGCAGAGCAGATTATTCCTCACCCGACCTGAGCATTCTCTTGTTACCAGCAATCCTGTGGACTCATTCTTAGGTCAGCCAAGCATAGGTGATGGGGGCACTTTCCTTCTAGGTAAAGTTTATACGAATGTCACCAGCATTTCTCTGCTTTCAGATTTTTGCTGTGGAACAGAGGGCAAAGAGTTACCTTCTGAGCATAATGTTTCTGTAGAAGGGGTGGCACAGGACAGGAGTCCCAAGCCAGCTCTGTGCCCCGAGAAGACCTGCCCCTCTGACATATGTTGCCTGTGCTTGAAAGACATCTTGCATTTGGCTGAACACCAGGCAGCACATCCCAGGCAGAAACCATTTATGTGTGAGGCATATGTGAAAGGCTATGAGTTCGGTGCAAACCTTGCCCAGACACGGGTGCAGCAGAACGTACACAACCCCATTGGAAGGGAGGAGGACCAGGTTTCGCCTGTGGAGACCAACGGAGACCACACATCAGAGCAGCTTTTCACCTGCAGGGAGGGCAGGAAGGACTGTGTGGCCAGAGCAGGGTTTCTGCAATATGAGATCACTCCCACCGATGGGGAGCCACGTAAGGCCACTGAAGGTGTGGTGGATTTTCACACTGCACAGAGGCATAACAAGTGCCGTCAATCTGGGGATGCCGTCAATGACAAATCCACTCTTGTTCAGCACCAGAGAATCCACGGCAGAGAAAGGCCTTATGAGTGCAGCAAATGTGGAATCTTCTTCAATTATGCTGCTGGCCTCATCCAGCACCAGAAAGTTCACAATAGAGGAAAACCATATGAGTGCCGCGAATGTGGGAAATTCTTCAGCCAGCACTCCAGCCTCGTTAAGCATCGCAGGGTTCACACTGGTGAAAGCCCTCACATGTGCGGTGACTGTGGGAAGTTCTTCAGCCGAAGCTCTAACCTTATCCAGCACAAGAGGGTTCACACTGGCGAAAAGCCGTATGAGTGCAGTGACTGTGGGAAGTTCTTCAGCCAGCGTTCCAACCTCATTCATCATAAGAGGGTTCACACGGGCAGAAGTGCCCATGAGTGCAGTGAATGTGGGAAATCCTTCAACTGCAACTCCAGCCTGATTAAACATTGGAGAGTTCACACTGGAGAAAGACCTTACAAGTGCAACGAATGTGGGAAATTCTTCAGCCACATCGCCAGCCTCATTCAGCATCAGATAGTTCACACTGGCGAGCGGCCTCATGGGTGCAGTGAGTGTGGGAAAGCCTTCAGCCGAAACTCTGACCTCATGAAACATCAGCGAGTTCATACCGGTGAGCGGCCTTATGAGTGCAATGAATGTGGGAAGTTGTTTAGCCAGAGCTCCAGCCTCAATAGCCATCGGAGACTTCACACTGGTGAACGGCCCTACCAGTGTAGTGAATGTGGGAAATTCTTTAACCAAAGCTCCAGCCTCAATAACCACCGGAGACTTCACACCGGTGAGCGGCCTTATGAGTGCAGCGAATGTGGGAAAACCTTTAGGCAGAGGTCCAATCTGAGGCAGCACCTGAAAGTTCACAAACCAGATAGGCCTTATGAGTGCAGTGAATGTGGGAAAGCTTTCAGCCAAAGGCCTACCCTCATTCGACATCAGAAGATTCACACTAGAGAAAGGAGCATGGAGAATGTGCTCCGTCCCTGTTCAATGCAACAGCACACAGCAGAGATAAGCTCTGAGAACAGACCTTATGAGGGTGCTGTCAACTACAAGTTGAACCTTTTTCATCCAAGTACCCACCCTGGAGAGGTTCCCTAGGAGTGCTAGCTATGTTGGAAGCTTTCTGGAGCCAAGTTACATTCTCTTACCATGGATTTTATCAGCATTTTTTCACTGCTGGGGTTGCGATAGAACCCACATCAGCACCACACACTGCAACTCTCCAGACTGTGTTGACCACTCCACTGTGCTCAGGGAAGGCAGACTTCTCCTCTCTCTTTCCAATCCCTAAAGGGAATTGGGAGTAGTCTGAAGCTGTGGGGAGATGTCATTCCCATCCTGTATGCCTGGTTTAGCTGTGGACATGATCAGCCTTTGGCTGTGAAGACCTGAGCAGGGTTCTGCTGACAGCTTGTTCTAGAGAAGGTTTCCCTTTCTCTGGGACATGTTGGTCTCATGGTATGCCTGTGATGGGTTTGTCCAGCCTTCATGTTACTCAGTGCAACAACTTATCTCCTGTGTATCACCCTGGTTCCTGCGATGATAAGGGCCTTATGATAAAGCTGCCTTTAATCTTCTATGGTCTGATCACTGTGTAGGGTGGTTCAAGAACAGAATTAAGATCTACCAAACTAAGGGGGTGGCCAGATTATCTTGGAGGGGACAGGAGGATGGCAGAGAACAGCTGTCAATCCAGACTGGGCCTCATTTACATTGCTATCTAGTCCTGCTAGGAAAAATTGTAGGAATTTATTATGATCTGAATGGCATGAATTTGTACCCCGAGGAGGGGGCAGTTGTGACAACCTCCAGTGCATGTAGGAGCAGCGTGAATTGGGTCCCTTATTCCCAAGAGGTGCCCCATATTCCCCAACACCATAAAGCAGATGCTGTTTAGCACCTGCCAAGGGGCCATATGCCCTGAGGTTCAGCATTAGGCAGGTGTCTCTTAACTGTTACCCTGCTGGGGCCATAATTTGTACAAAAACACTGGGTGTGATTAATAGGGAGTAGGTGAGATTATAGTAAACCAGCAGAAATGGACCTGTTCTATAGGTGCACCCATGAATGTTCCCTTGAATATGGCTGTGCAGGATTCAGGGTTTGCAGAAATTCTCAGGACCTCTAGACCTCTGTCCTATGACTAATGTTACTGGCAGAGCAAATAATCTCCATATAAAAAAGAGATTTTAGTTTAATGGATTACTGTCTCTGTGCTGTGCATCTCAAGGCCAGTGCTGTGCTAGCAGGAAAATAGGGACTAAGAAAAAACAGGGATTATAGCATCTCTGACGTAGCCAGCCATTCTTTGTTCCTAAAGCAAGAAGAAAGAGATGGCAGAGTCAATATAGGGTTGCCAAATCTGATTTTCTAAAATGAGTAGGAGGTTGGATTTTTATGTGCAACAGTTCCTTTTGGTGCTTTGTTGATACGTAATTGTCATGCAATAATTGTACACATTTGGTAAGTTTTGTACACTCAGGGAACCAACACCATAGTCATGATAGTGAACGTATCCATCCCAGGCAAAGCTACCTCCTGCCCCTTTACAGTCCCTCCTTGCCTTCCCCAGGAAACCATTGATTTACATTTTTCACTTCAGATTTGTTTACCTTTTCTAGAATTGATACAATTGGAATCATAAAGTATTTATACTCTTTTGCAGTCTGATTCTTTCATGCAGCATAATTATCTTGAGAATCATCCATGCTTTGTGTATATATGGTTCATTCCTTTTACTACTGAGTAGTGCTCTGCTGGTTGAGTACACCATAGTTATTTGTGATTTATTTTAGAATGTTAAAAAAGCCGGGCGCGGTGGCTCGTGCCTATAATTCCAGCACTTTGGGAGGCCGAGGCGGGTGGATCACGAGGTCAAGAGATCAAGACCATCCTGGTCAACAAGGTGAAACCCCGTCTCTACTAAAAATATAAAAATTAGCTGGGCATGGTGGCGCATGCCTGTAGTCCCAGCAACTCGGGAGGCTGAGGCAGAAGAATTGCTTGAACCCAGGAGGCGGAGGTTGTGGTGAGCCGAGATCGCGCCATTGCACTCCAGTCTGGGTAACAACAGCGAAACTCCGTCTCAAAAAAAAAAAAATGTTAACAAATATGATGAAATACATATAATATGAAATTTACCATCCTAACCATTTTAAGTGTATACTTCAGTGGTAATGAGTATTGTTACACAGCCATCACCAGTGTTTATCTCCAGAACTCTTCAATCTTGCAAACCTTTAGAGTTATCAACATGTAAGATAATATCACCTGTGATCAGAAATAATTTTACTTCTTCCTTTCCAATTTGGCTGCCTTTTACTTCTTTTCTTTCATAATTACACTGGCTAGGACTTCCAGTACCATGTTGAACAGAAGTAGAGAAAGAGGAGATCTTTGCCTTGTTCCTGATCAAAAAGCTTTTGGTTTTTCACGATTGAGAATGATTTAACTGTAGGTTTTTTTATATGTGGTTTTTGGTACATTGACATAGTTTTCTTTTATTCGTTTCTTGAATGTTTTTTTTTTTGCCAAATAAATTCAAGGCTGGTAATATTAGGGAATATTACAGTGGGGAGAGAAGATCCTAGAGATGGATATTCATCTCATGTACTAGGGTTAGATCAGCAGCTTTGTGTAGTGACGAATAAAAGGAAACTCCTTTATTTTGTTTCTTAAAAAGAATGAAAGAAAGAAAGAAAAAAAGAGGGGCCAGGCGCGGTGGCTCACGCCTATAATCCCAGCACTTTGGGAGGCCGAGGCGGGTGGATCATGAGGTCAAGAGATCGAGACCATCCTGGTCAACAAGGTGAAACCCCGTCTCTACTAAAAATACAAAAATTAGCTGGGCATGGTGGTGCACACCTGTAGTCCCAGCTATTGGGGAGGCTGAGACAGGAGAATTGCTTGAACCCAGGAGTCAGAGGTTGCGGTGAGCCGAGATCGTGCCATTGCACTGCAGTCTGGGTAACAACAGCGAAACTCTGTCTCAAAAAAATAAAAATAAAAAAGAATGAAAGAGAGAAAGAGGAAGAGAAAGAGGGAGAGAGAACGGGAGTCCTGTTTTATTGCCCAGGCTAGAATGCAGTCTAAAAATGGGTACTGAAAACCTCTTTTATGGCAATAATTGTGCTTAACAATGGAGACAGGAAGGAATAAGGGAGGAAAATAACAAACAAGCAGCCAACCAATATTTCATTTAAACCTGTGAAATGCTGTGCAATTACTGAGGAGTGATTTCCTTCCAATTATGTAGTCACTTTTAGAGTAGGTGTGATGTGGTACTGATATGAATGAATGTTTTGTGTATTTGGGGTGGAGAGTTCTATAAACATTTATTAAGTTTACTTTTTCCGGGTCTGAGTTCGAGTTCTGGATATCCTTGTTAATTTTCTGTCTCGTTGATCTGTCTAATATTAACCATGTGATGTTAAAGTCTCCCACTATTATTGTGTGGGAGTCTAAGTCTCTTTATAAGTCATTAGGAACTTGTCTTATGTATCTGGGTGCTCCTGTATTGGGTGCACATATATTTAGGATCTTTAGCTCTTCTTGTTGCATTGATCCTTTTACCATTATGTAATGTCCTTCTTTGCCTCTTTTGATCTTTGTTGCTTTAAAGTCTATTTTATCAGAGGTGAGAATTGCAACTCCTGCTTTTTATTTATTTATTTATTTTTGCTCTCCATTTGGTTGGTAAATTTTCCTCCATCCCTTTGTTTTGAGTCTTTGTGTATCCTTGCATATGAGATGGGTCTGGATGCAGCATACCAATGGGTTTTGACTTTCCATCCAAATGCCTGTCTGTGTCCTTTGATTGGGGGATTTAGTTGACTTAAATTTAGGATTAATGAAAATATATGTGAGTTTAATACTGCCATTTGATGCTAGCTGGCTGTTTTGCCCATTCGTTGATGTAAATTCTTCATTATGTTGATGCTCTTTACTTTTTAGTATATTTTTGGAAAGGCTGTTACTTGTTGTTCCTTTCTATGCGTAGTGCTTCTTTCAGAAGCTCTTGCAAAGCAGGGCTGGTGGTGATGAAATCTCTAAATACTTGCTTGTTCACAAAAGATTTTATTTTTCCTTCACTTGTGAAGCTTAGTTTGGCTGGATAAGAAATTCTGGGTTGAAAGTTCTTTTCTTTAAGGATGTTGAATATTGGCCCCCACTCTCTTCTGGCCTGTAGGATTTCTGCTGAGAGATCTGCTGTGAGTCTGATGGGCTTCCCTTTGTGGATAACCTGACCTTTCTCTCTGGCTGCCCTTAGCATTTTCTCCTTCATTTCAACCCTGATGAATCTGACGATTATGTGCCTTGGGGTTGCTCTTCTTGAGGAATATCTTTGTGGTGTTCTCTGTATTACCTGGAGTTGAATATTGTCATACCTAGCTAGGTTGGGAAAGTTTTCCTGAATAATATCCTGAAGAGTATTTTCCAGCTTGGATTCATTCTCTTCGTCACATTCAGGTACCCCTATCAAACATAGGTCTTTTCACATAGTCCCATATTTCTTGGAGACTTTGCTCATTCCTTTTTATCCTTTTTTCTCTAATCTTGTCTTCTCGTTTTATTTCAAGTTGGTCTTCGACCTCTGATGTCCTTTCTTCTGCTTGATCAATTCGACTGTCAAAACTTGTGCATACTTCGTGAAATTCTCATGTTGTGTTTTTCAGCTCCATTAATTCACTTATATTCCTCTCTAAATGTCTATTTTCGTTAGCATTTCGTCAAACCTTTTTTCAAGGTTCTTAGTTTCTTTTCATTGGGTTAGAACATATTCTTTTAGCTCACAGAAGTTTCTTATTACTCATCTTCTGAAGCCTGATTCTGACAACTGATCACATTCGTTCTCCATCAGACCTTGTTCCCTTGCTGATGAGGAGCTACGATCCCCTGAAGGAGGAGAGGCATTCTGATTTTGGATGTTTTCAGCCTTTTTATGCTGGTTTCTTCCCATCTTTGTGGATTTATCCACCTGTTGTCTTTGTAATTGCTGACTTTCAGATTGGGTCTCTGAGTGGGCATCCAGATTGTTGGTGGTGATGTTATTTCTGTTTCTTTGTTTTCCTTTGGCGGATGCCTCTCCCCCACAGAGCTGGACCTTCCCAGGTTCAGCTGTGCTTGCTGTGAAACTGAACCGTCAGCATTTCCAATTGCTGTTTTTTTGTGGGGTAGGACCAGCCGAACCCGATCACCTGGCTCCCTGCTTCGGAGCCCCCTATTTTTCTTTTCCTAATTGAACGATCGATTCTCTCCCAGGTGCCCCAGTCGCCCGCCGAAAAGGCTCCGGGATCTATACAATTTCCTGAGCAGCAACCAGCCAGCTGAAACAGCTGCGCTCAGATTTGTGGCGTCTTTCTGCCCAGGAATCTCCCGGTCTGGCTCCCGGCTTCAGTACCCCTCCTAATCAGCTGAATGGGTGACTCTGCCTTCTGGGAGCTCCAAACGCCAACTAAAAGGGCACCCAGTCCCGCATACTCTGCACTGAGAACCGCTGCGCTGGGACGCCAGCCAAAGAGCCACGCCGGCCAAAAGAGTCACGCTGGCGACCCGTGGGGCTCCTCTGCCGGGAATCTCCTGGTCCATAAGCAACAAAAATTCATCTGGAAGTCTGGCGTCCACTCAGTCCATGCCCTTCACAGGGAGCTGCGACCCTGAGCTGCTGCTAGATGGCCATCTTGGATCTCTCTCCTTCGAGTGTTTTCTTTTTTTTTAAAACATGAAATGGTATTGAATTTTTGTCAAATGCTTTTTCTGTATCAAGATAGATGATTTTTCCCCTTTATTCTGTTGATATTGATTGTTTTTCATGTGTTGAACCATCTTGCATTCTAGGAATAAATTCCACTTGGACATGCTTTATAATCCTTTTAACATGCTGCTTAATTTGGTTTGCTAATATTTGATTTAGAATTTTGACATCAATTTTCATAAGGGAGGTTGGTCTGTAGTTTTTTTTTTTTTTTTTTTTTTTTTGAGTCGGAGTTTCGCTCTTGTTACCCAGGCTGGAGTGCAATGGCGCGATCTCCACTCACCACAACCACCACCTCCTGAGTTCAGGCAATTCTCCTGCCTCAGCCTCCTGAGTAGCTGGGATTACAGGTGCATGCCACCATGGCCAGCTAATTTTTTTGTATTTTTAGTAGAGACGGGGTTTCACCATATTGACCAGGATGGTCTCGATCTCTTGACCTCGTGATCCACCCACCTCAGCCTCCCAAAGTGCTGGGATTACAGGCTTGAGCCACTACACCTGGCCTGGTCTGTAGTTTTCTTGTGTTTGTCTGGCTTTGGCATCAGGGCAATTCTGGCTTCATGAAATGAGTTAGGAAGTACTCTCACCTTCAATTTTTGGAAAAGTTTAAGAAGGATTGGTGTTAGTTCTTTAAGTGTATCATATTATTCACCAGACAATTCACCAGTCAGGGTTTTTATTGATTTGTGAAAAATTAGTTGGTTATATTTCTTTGCATGTTTCTGGGTTCTCTTCTGTAATTTAGACCTATGTTGTTTACCCCTCCTCGGTGCCACAGTGTCTTCTATCCTTATCTACATAATAACCCATAATATCAGACAGGGTGATTTCTGCAACAAAAGCTTTAAAATCTGCCCACATCGACCTCAGCGGACACATTTGTTAGTGCCTAAGAGATCCCTTCACTGCCAAGGTTTGGCAGCCTTTTCTCATCTGTCCCTGAGTCTCTAGACCACCTCTGATGGCCAGAAGTTTCCCAAGGGCGTCTGATCAAAGAAACTGCCCTTCTCAAACTCATGCTATGCCTCCATTAAAACAAGAGGACTAACTACATACTAGTTTCTTCTAGAAACAGAGACTTTCGCAGACCTAATACCTAGCTCCCCATTTGGGGTCAAGAAACAGCAGCCCACAAACGGCATGACTACCAAGGCCTCAACAGGATAGAGCCAAATCTGGGCCCTCTGGCATATTCCATCTACAGGAGGGGCAGTCTCCTTTGTCCTCAGTCTCTTGCCACATGCCATGGTACTGGAGGAAGTCACCCCCTCTCCTAGACCAGTTGGCTACCTGGGGAGCCCCTTGGGATTAACCAAGTAAACAGCAATAGGAGTTTGCAGACTGTATGAATGATACTGTCGGCCATCAGAAATATTGATTTTTTTGTGTGTTGTTTTTTAAATTAGTGGAATCTTGCTACGTTGCATCTCTTAGGATGTCCCCAAGAGTCAACACAATTGGCCAAACTTGAGGCAGTCATCTTAGCACTGGATGACCTGGTCGAGAAACGGCCCCCATCTTCACATTTACTGCAAACTTTTGGGCCATTCCCTCAGAGTTGCCCACTTCAGAGTAAAAAACTCTAGGAATCAAGCCCAGGGGCGGTGGCTAAAGCCTGTAATCCCAGCACTTTGGGAGGCTGAGGCAGGTGGATCAGGAGGTCAAGAGATTGAGACCGTCCTGGTCAACATGGTGAAACCCCTTCTCTACTAAAAATACAAAAAATTAGCTGGGCATGGTAGCGTGTGCCTGTAATCCCAGCTACTCAGGAGGCTGAGTCAGGAGAATTGCCTGAACCCAGGAGGCGGAGGTTGCGGTGAGCCGAGATTGCGCCATTGCACTCCAGCCTGGGTAACAAGAGCGAAACTCCGTCTCAAAAAAAAAAAAAAAAAAAGCTCTAGGAATCTCCTACCTCACAGATACCTAAAGCAGCATAAATGTAAATCACACATGTCTCTACCTATGACCACAATACAAGGCCAAACAACTCCTTATTTCCTTCAGAGTTAGATATGACTGATAATAACCAAGGCATACATTTCATTTCCTAGAATACACAATTCTGGGTTCTTGTAAAGCTATCCAATGGAACTTTCATGTCCCTGATAGGTGCCAGATAGTCAATTTATTCTATTTTATTTATTTATTTATAGAGACAGGGTCTCATTACATTGCCCAGGCGTATCTCCTGGGCTCAAGTGAACCTCCCACCTCAGGCTCCCAGCCTCCCAATTGAATTGTGCCCAGCTCAGATAGCTAGTTTAATTGAGGTCTCCTCAATTTCTTTTCAAATTCCAGTCTAGCAAGTGGACCCCTAAATGGGTCTGTATGTTGCCGGAGGTCCTAATCTGTCTTAATAAATGTTCAGTCTTCCCCCATCTGGTAAGTGCTGTAGGCCAGATCAAGGGTGCATAATTTCCCATGATCCCTTAATCATAGATTGTCCCAGGGACCAGGCATTTGCTCATCTGCTTTCATTGATCTGCTGTTCAGGGACCCAAACCCTTCAAATCAGCCATTGTTTCAACCAGGTGATACATGTTGAGGCTCCTATGCTTGCATTTGGCTAATACAAACCCTACCATCCAAAGATCTTGCCAGTTTTTCCATCACCATTCAAACCAACAACTGAGGCAAAAGGTCCACAATAATTGGCCAAGTTAGAGGTCCTGCCTACAGGATGATGCTGAAGCTCCCACCTCTCAGCTTCATACTAGTACCATAGAGGCATTAAAACAACACACAAATCAACTTGAGTGGATATTCTTTTTAAAAGGGATACCCCAGTTCCACATCCCAGATGACGTTGCCCTGGGCCAGGAGCTCACCATGGTCTCCAATGACGTCACCCTAGCTGTCTTAGTCCATTTGTGTTGCTATAAAGGAATACTGAGGTGGGTGGATCACGAGGTCAAGAGATGGAGACCATCCTGGTCAACATGGTGAAACCCCGCCTCTGCTAAAAAATACAAAAAATTAGCTGGGCATGGTGGCACGTGCCTGTAATCCCAGCTACTCAGGAGGCTGAGGCAGGAGAATTGCCTGAACCCAGGAGGCAGAGGTTGCGGTGAGCCGAGATCATGCCATTGCACTCCAGCCTGGGTAACAAGAGTGAAACTCCATCTCAAAAAATGAAAAAGAAAAGAGGTTTATTTGGCTCACAGCTCTGCAGGCTGAACAAGAAGCATGGCACCTGCATCTGCTTGGCTTTTGGTGAGGGCTTCAAACTGCTTCCACTCATGGTAGAAAGTGAAGGGGAGCTGGAGTGCAGAGATCACTTGGCAAGAGCAGAAGGAAGAGAGAGAGTGGGGAGGTGCCAGGCTTTTTTTTTTTTTTTTTTTTTAAACAATCAGTTCTCAGGGAACTCTGGCAGGAACTCACCGAGGGAGAAGTGATTCATCACCGTGAGGACAGCACTAAGCCCTTCATGAGGATCAGCTCGCATGACCCAAACACCTCCCATTAGGCCCCCACCTCCAACATTGGGATCAAATTTCAGCATGAGATTGGGCGTGATGGCAGATGCCTGTAGTCTCAGCTACTTGGGAGGCTGAGGCAGGAGAATCGCTTGAACCTGGGAGGCGGAGGTTGCAATGAGCCCAGATTATGCCGCTGCACTCCAGCCTGGGTGACAGAGCAAGACGCTGTCTCAAAATAAATAACTCAGGGGAAATAACTCAGCAGTAACTCCAGGGAAAGGTGAAAATTCCACTCTGTTTCAGGGCTGCCTAGTTGAAGCTTCATATACTAATGAAGACTCTTTGAAGGGATGAGCTCTCCTGGTGTGTATTTTATTGCTCAATCTGCCCCTGACATTAGGAGGAAGCTACACAAGGAAGAAATGGGACCTCAAATTCCAATGAGCCAACTCTTGGGAGTTTACAGCAATAGGGATAGAGCAGTTAATAAGGCAGTGGTCCCAATAGTTGCTAATCCTTACACAATATTGACCCAAGTTCGTGAAGATGTTAATTGGTTCACGGTATTCGACTCATAGGTTGTTTTCTTTTGTGTACCTTTACATCTGGACTTCTAATATGTTTTTGCATTTGAATGGACTGATCCATACATTCATGCTACATCTCAGTTTACCTGGACTGTCCTCCCCTAAGGTTTTAGGGACAGTCCCCATCTCTTTGGGAATGCATTGGCAAAAGAATTAAGGGAACTACAATTAACTATTGAATTCCTCCTACAATATGTGGATGACCTATTGCTATCCAGCCCTACTAGGGAAGACTCAGAAATACATACAGTTCAGGCCCTTAACATCACTGTGCTGACTTCCATCCCCATGCATTGGATTGGCCTCTTCTTGAAGGTTACGTGTATGGATTCACATGGTGTGCACTGCTTTTTGTCCAGGGTCTTTCACTTGATATCCTGTTTGTGAGATTGACAGCACAAGGATTAATTTCTGTCTTGAGACTCTTGATGCAGTTGTTCCTTGGTTTATACAGATTCCCTTTACCTCACTTGCACCCTCACAAATCATAGCTCCATAGTAGCAGAACACCCAACATTTTCTTTTTTTCTTTTTTTTTTTTTTAAGACGGGGTTTCACCATGTTGGTCAGGCTGGTCTTGAACTCCCGACCTCAGGTAATCCGCCCGCCTTGGCCTCCAAAGTGCTTGGATTACAGGTGTGAGCCACCACGCCCAGGCACCCAACATTTTCTGAAAAAAACAGAAACAGAGCAGAAAGTCGGGCATCAGGCAGTTTAGACCCATGCTTTTCTTTTTTTTTTTCTTTTTTTTTTTTTTTTTTTTGGAGACGGAGTTTCGCTCTTGTTACCCAGGCTGGAGTGCAATGGTGCAATCTCGGCTCACCGCAACCTCCGCCTCCTGGGTTCAGGCAATTCTCCTGCCTCAGCCTCCTGAGCAGCCGGGATTACAGGCACGCACCACCATGACCAGCTAATTTTTTGTATTTTTAGTAGAGACGGGGTTTCACCATGTTGACCAGGGTGGTCTCGATCTCTTGACTTCATGATCCACCTGCCTTGGCCTCCCAAAGTGCTGGGATTACAGGCTTGAACCACCGCGCCCAGCCTAGACCCATGCTTTTCAATCCTCCCTGAGTGCCTGGAGAACTTTTAGAGCTCCTCATG